CTGCTAGGTAAGTGTTCTAGGAACTCAGCATCAGTGTACCAGCGAGTGTTGTTCTGAGAGGCTGTATTTGGCGACAGTGAATTTTTTTTTTAGTAGTCTTTCAGTGCGTTTGCCCATTTAATGATGGGTGGTTTACACCGGCCCACACCATGTTGAATGTTCAGCAGTTTTGACCAAAAGTGGCATGACCCTGGTGCCCCACTCTCTGTTCGCCTAATCTTGCCCAGATAATACCCCCTCTCCAAGAAAAAAGTCCTGAAAGGGAAATGTTTTGCCGGTGTGGAAGAGGTGAAACAAAAAACTGCAGAAGCACTAAAAGGCATAAAAATTGACGAGTGCAAAAACTGTTTTGAAAAGTGGAAAAAGCATCTTGATAGGTGTATTACATCAAACGGAGACTACATTGAGGGTGACTAAAGCTTAAACATGTAAGAATAAATACACAATTTTTAATAAATAAATTCCATTTATTTGAGTCCTCCCTTGTATAGTTGCCAGGTCTTTTTAGACTCAGGAATTTTATTCTGCATGGATGAATAAACATAACAATTTAAAGGAAAATTTAAAATTTGATTTATTTTTCTGTTTTGACTTTTTTGATAAAACAGCTTTTCAGGACTGTCATCATTCTGTGTAACCATAGGAAGAATCTTCTACGTTGTTTTGCACAGGAGATTTAAGCCCATACAGCTACTTTTATGGCAGAACTGGGATATTGTCCTGACCTCTTGACTCCTTGACTAGTTACTTTTTCCTATAATCTGCCTCAGCAGTGCTTCATGATTTTTCATATGATGAATTGTGTGAAGAAATAAACGTGAAAATAAAGCTCAGGAAGGATCTATGAACTTTGGTTAGTAACTGTGGCCCAGCTCTTCTGTTTCTCTTTTCTTCCTTTGGCTGGTAGTCTGCATTGCACATCCCTAAATGCAGATTGGAGCTGAATAGGGTTGTGTGAATTAGTATTTCAGTATCATTTTGACTATGTGAATTGATTGTTCTCTGCACTTTTCCCTTAATGTTTTTTTAAACTAGAATTTCTAGAACTTGTCCTGTACCTATCTTTGGTATTTTCAAAGAAAAGTATTTATTTCCTGTTTTTTTCCCTCGTGATTTTTTTTTTTTTTTGTCAGATTCTCACTCTGTTACCAAGCTGGAGTGCAGCGAGCACACTCATGGCTACTGCAGCCTCAACCTGCTGGGCTCAGGTGATTCTTCCACCTCAGCCTTCCAAGTAGATGGAATTAGAGGTGTGTACCACCACACTCAGCTAATTTTTTTTTTGATTGATTGTAGAGACTAGATATTGCTGAGTTGCAGGCTGATCTTGAACCCCTGGGCTCAGGCAGTCCTCTTGCCTTTGCCTCTCACAGTGCTGGAATTACAGTTATGAGCTACTATGCTCAGCCCCTCATGAGATTTTTGAATGGAGCTGTTACTTATTTGTACTAAAGTGATTGAATTTGATAAATACATATAAAAGCACTTCTACATAGTTGCAAAATAATAATCTGTAGCTACCATTTATCATATGTGTACCATGTGTGTTCAGGCACTATTTTAACCATTTGGTATACAGTATATTGTATCATTTATTCCTCAAGATTAAAGGAGTTACTGCCTTTACGTTATGAAGGATTTAGAGAGAGTGAATAATTTGTACATGATCACACAGCCATGAGTTGGATTTAAACTCAGAATTATCTGACTTGAAAACCTGAGCTCTGACTGGGTATGGTAGCTCGTCCCTATAATCCCAGTGCTTTGGGAGGCTTTCGTGGGAGCGCTTGAGGATCACTTGAGGATCACTTGAGGATCCCTTGAGGCCAGGAATTCCAAGACCAGCCTGGAGGTGTGGTGAGCCAAGATTGTACTACTGCATTCCATCCTGGGCGACAGAGTGAGACTCTGTGTCTAAACAAATAAACAACCAAACAAAAAACAGAATGATGACATCATACCTTTTAAGCATGTTTGAGATCTTATAGTTGTTTTAAAAAAATGACTTATTTCTAAAATAGAATCTATAAAGATGCCAATTTTTTTGCAGTATTATTTCCCACAATGCACTTTTTTTTTTTTTCCAGTCCTCTGGCGTAGCATACTGGCTTTCCATCTTTCTACCTGTGGAACACTTGCAGCTTAGATCTACTTTGTTAGAGATATAGTCTAGATTAGAGTCTGCTGATACCGTAAAACCTACTTAAATCCAAGTTCTCTAGAGAGGGAACCCACAGAAATAAGAGAATCTGCCACACTCTTAAAGTTCTCTAGAGAGGGAACTTGGATACCTGAGATCTAAGCTAAGCTACGAGGAGTAATATATTATGGAATTATTTTGAAGGAGTAGCTTATTGTATTTGGTTCTTTTAATCTCTGTTTTGATTTCATCATTTTATGCATAGACTTAACTAGTGGTAACTGCAGTTAGCAATGACTGCTTTCTTTTGTAAAGTACTAGTTGATTGCTTTTGTTTTGTTGGAGTTTGCTCCAAACTGGTTAGACATTGTTGATTTCCAGTGACTGCCCTCCTGTTGTACTTTTATTTCAACTTCCATAACCTGTATTAAGATAGCCATTTTACTTTGAGGATTCCATGACATAGTTGCTAATCATTTAAATATAGGGTATACATGCACTGTTTCCCATACAACTCAGGTTTTGTGAGTTGACCTCAAAAGCTTTGGAGTGAAGGATATACAAAATTTAGTCCATTCTATTCTTTTCCTCATCCATTTGTAGAGCAAGTGACTTCACCTATTACTTCCTCCCTTACTTACTTTTCAGCAAGGGTCAGCAAAAAAAAAAAAGGCCTGCCTAGCTGCCTGTTTTGGTGTGGCTTGTGGGCACCACTCCAGTGGGTTAGCACTGTAAGCCTTGGAGACCTATGAGGGATGGTTCTTCCCTTTGCTCCATTCTCCCCTTTGCTTCCAGCACCTGCTCCCTGGCTAGTGGTCATGCTTCACTGCTGCCCAGACTTGCTTTAGTGCCACCTGTATACTGAGTATTCTGTTTGACACGAAATGGTGGGTTTTCCCACTAAGTGGTGGCAATTGGTGAATCATCAAATTACCTTGCCTCCAGTCAGCTGTGCCAGGTTCCCTGGTTGAAATGGCTAGGTTCTGGAGGAGAGAAGGGCATGGTGGAATTTAGATATCGTTGAGGGAGAGAGTGAAATTGATGGTGCTGGCTACTCCTTCCCACCCCATGGCTCCTCTCCATCAGACAGGTACTTTTCTCTCCAGAACGTCTCCAACTGATGGCACTTGGGCATTTGTGCACCTGGTGTACCCTTTGGGGCGGCCTAACCTAGACAAAAAGGGCACAGGATGGGGCAGGAGTTTTCTCTCGTTATATGAGTACTTACATACTTATTATAGACTTGATTTTGCCTTTTTTGCCAGCAGAACCTAGAATACTGCTTCTCGGGAGGCATATTGACCCCTTGCTATGTCAGACACATTGTTGGCTCAGGCCCTTGGCTCTTGCTGTTCCCTCTGTATGCACTTGTTCTTTGATAGCTCTTGTTCATCCTCAAACCAGATAATCTTAGGTTTTACTTTCCCTAAAAAAGCCTGCTTTCTTGAAAACTTTGCATTTTACCTGTTCATTTGCTTGGGGCTGACAACAAAACAGTGAGCAAATAGACCCAGTCTCTGCTCTCATGCAATTTAGAATCCTTTGAGATAAAAGACATTAAACATAACCCCACAAATAACATATTGTGAACTGTGATAAATCTTATAAAGGAAATGTTCAGGGGCCTGAGAGGCTATAAATGGAGGGGGGACTAATTTTAGAAAGAGGTTAGATTGACTTTCATTACTTCTGCCACTATTGTGGACCACACTGGACCACATAATCTCTTGACTGTTTTACTACAGCTTTCTTTTTTTTGAGTTGGAGTCTCACTCTGTTGCCCAGACTGGAGTGCAGTGGCCGCTCCTGGCCACCGCAGCCTCGACCTGCTGGGCTCCAGCCTTCCAAGGAGCTGGAACTACAGGCACACATGCTACCACGCCCAGCTGACTTTTGATTTATTGTAGAGATGAGGTCTTGCTGCCCAGGCGGGTCTCGAACCCGCGGGCTCAGGCAATCCACTCACCTCAGCCTCCCAAAGGCGCGGGATTACAGGCTGAGCCACCGAGCCCGGCTTACTACAGCTTTCTAACTGATCTCTCTACTTCTGCCCTTGTATACCTACCGTCAGTTTTCTACATTGCAGCAGCCATGGTGACTCCAAGAAAATAAATCAGATTGTGTTACTCTTTAGTCCATCCCTTTTGATGGCTCATTCTCTTATACCATATAGTAAAAGCCAAAGCTCTCACTAAAGGCATCATTTCTTGTTTGACTTCATCCTTTACTATTTTCTCCCTTGCTCATTCTGTGGCCGTTTTGTCCTCCTTGCTATATCAGCTACATTCTTAAGTACTCTCTTATCCCAGGGTATTGGCACACGCTTTTCCCCAGACTGTAACGCTTTTTTCCTTTCTGCTTGGCTACTTCCTCACCTTTTTCATGCCTTCTGTATTCATGCTGTTAAAAAAAAAAAGTTTCACGTAGTCAAATGACTATGTTGTTTAAAACAGCAACCTTCTGACCTTACCCCATATGTCTATTTTATCCCTTTGTCTCTTTGTTCTCCATAGCACTTACCACTATTTACCATACCATGTTTTTACTTATATATCTTGTTTGATTACCCTCTAAAAACTTCACAAGGGCACACATTTTTAAATACTAATTTTATCTTCTAGAAAACCTGTATTTTTTTTTTATTGCCTTTGCTTTTTTGGGCTTATTTCTTCGTTGCATATCTTAGCTCCTGGTTTACACATTAAAAGACTATGTTTATAAACCATAAAATAACTTATTGACTTTGATTTGTGGGCTACTTAAACATGAATAACTTTTGTGTACTCTTAAGTAAGTTATATTGACATAAATGCATGTAATATTTAGCTCTGCTGATTATTGACTTTGCTCTATTTTTTAGATACTATGATCAGATTTGTTCCATTGAACCCAAATTCCCATTTTCTGAAAATCAGGTAAGTAATTTGTTTTAAATTATATGGAAATGGTAAATCACCTATTTTCTTCTGCCAGTGGTATCATTTTATTTACATCAGTGATGCCTCTATACTATCTTTAGGTTTTTGTGAGATAGTTTTATATAAAGTAGAAGCTTTTAGGTCTGTCTACGAATCTGTGTCCTTCTGAAGAAAGAGTTTCCTGGAATTCTATTCATGTCATTCTTCAGTCACTTCTGGGGTTTATATAGAGCATCAGATTGCATTTTTTTCTAACTTCATTTTATATCAGAAGGATCTGTTGACTGATTAATCTGCTATGTCCTTCTCCTTGACATTTATAGAATTAAGAAGGGACTTGCATAATTTAGGAATTATTAGCCTCAGTTTATGTGCTTTAAAGATTATTGGCACAAGTTACATTTGCATATAAAAGTTGCAAATGCTGTTCTAATTAAGATGTTATCTACAAGAATGTCAACTTTTTTCCTCTTGAAGACTAGCTGTTGAATGTGCTGCTAATTTTTATTTTGAAGACTGGATAAAAGTTTTAAAGTTGTGTGGTGCTTCTAAATTTTAAAATTTAGTAAAGAAAAGTATTTTTAATGTAAGAAAAGTACTTTAAACAATTTTATACTCAGGTTTTTACAGGTGAAATAATTATATGTTGAAATTTGCTTTAAAGTGTACCAGGAAAAAAAGTGTATGTGATGGGTCGGTAGGCGCAGGGCAAGTTGGGAGGCAGGTGAACCAAGAGGGGCAAAAGACTAAAGTTGTTGATGGTTATATAGGAGTTCATTCTCTTTAGTCTCTTTACTTTTGTGTATACTTGAAAATTTCCCTAATTCAGAGTTAAAATTGTTTTGTATTATATTGCAATAAATAATTTAAAAAGTCCATTCTTTTTTTTTTGGAGTTGGAGTCTCACTCTCATGGTCAGGCTGGAGTGCAGTGGCACACTCACGGCCACCCCAGTGTTTACCTGCTGGACTCTGGTGATCCTTCCACCTCAGCCTTCCAAGTAGCTGGAACTACAGGCGCAAGCTACCATGCCCAGCTAATTTTTTGATTTATTGTAGGGACAAGGTCTCGCCAAGTTGCCCAGGCTGGTCTTGAACCCGCTGGCTCAGGCAATCCATTCTCTTTGGCCTCCCAAAGTGCTGGGATTATAGGCTGAGCCACCACGCCTGGCCAGTCAATTCTTTTTAACATTCATATGTGGTATACTTTCGAAGCAGAGAGATACAATTTTTTAATACAGTAAATTTTTTATTCGTATATAACATGTACATATAGAAAAGTGAACAAATCATGTTTATATCTTCAGTCTTCACAATGTGAACATCCCTGTATAACTACCACTCAGATCAAGAGATAAAACATTCTCCCATCCCCCCAAAGTAACCTTTCTTACTTTTATCATCACGGAATATTTGTTTTTAATTTTATCTTCTGGGAAGCCTGTAGAACTTAATTTATTGCCATTGCTTTTCTTAGCTTATTTGATAAGCATTTATTAAGTGCCTGTTCTGTTAAAGTCATTGTGTGTTTGTAAAGATGAAAATTTTAATGTTTGTGATTACTGAGGCAGAATGAGCAATTGAAATATTCCATTGCCAGTATTTTGCTTTTTTTTTTTTTTTTTAAATTTATGGTCCAGGAGAAGGAAAAGGAATTGGTTGATTAGAGAAGATAATGCTTTAGACAGATTATATTTTTGTCCTTTTCCTCATTGTGGATTTTCTTCAAAATAAACTTAATATTTAATGAGATCTGGGAAGGTAACATACTTTTCTATTTTCTATTTTATTCTATCCAGATCTGCTTGACATTTACCTGGAAGGATGCTTTTGATAAAGGTTCACTTTTTGGAGGATCTGTAAAATTAGGTATGTGATTTTTTAAATAATGATATTAAATTTGGACTAAATACTCTGCATTGCTTTTGGTTTTTAAAATTTCTCTCCTAATGACTATTTGTAAATTCTAAATTTTTGGCATCTCATCTTCTTTTTAACTTTTACTTTTAGTGTAATTTTGAAATATTTGTAGTGAGCCTATGCCTTGCCAGGCACTGTCCTAGTTATAAAAATGAATAAGAAAGTTGTAGTCAATCATCGGGAAGATAGTTGATCATTCTAAAATGTAATATGTGATATGTAAAATGTAGTATGTGATATCAGCCTACGGACACATTCACGAGAGTACAGATGAGGAAGAAGGCAGTTCAGCCTGCTGAAAGCAAGCACTGTTTGGGTTAGGCCTTGAAGAATGCATTTGGTTTTTTCCAGGTCGAATATAATATTACAGGTACAACATCATAATCAAAGGTCAGAAGGGCAGAGGTTTGTTGAGCTTCCAGCATGAGCAAGATAATTTCACTGTTCCTTAATTTTCTCATCTGCAAAGTGGGGATAATACTATTTCTCTCATTGAATTTTTGTGTGGATTAAATGAGTAAATACATGTAAAGTCCTAAGAACAGTACTTAATAGGGCTAGGTGCAGTGAATAATTTTTTATTATATAGTTTATGATATAATATATATGTAGTATATAATATATACTATGGGCATGTGATATAGATAATATTAAATGTAAGGTATATAAGGTATATACTTTTATACACCTTATATAGTATATATATTTATTTGTACCTTATATAGTATATGTATGTATTAGATATATACTGTATACCTTATAAGATATATAGATATACAATATGTATTATATATTATAACTAGAGGTATATAGTAGATATTATATATAATAGTAATATAATTATTATTATTATGACTTATACCTATAGGTTGAATTGAGGATTATGGATGGTGATGATATTGCAAAGTAGATTGTGAAGAGTTATAATACTAATGCTTATTGAGTACTTATTCTACCTGGGCACTCTGGAAGGGGCTTTACATATATTATCTTATGGAATTCCCCAATAGCTTAATGAGGAAAGGCACTGTTATTACCAGTTGAGAAAATTGGTTTAGAAAGACTAAATGATTTTCTAAGACCGTATGGTTAGGATTTAGTGAAGCTGTGATATGAATCCAGAAAGCCTGACTCCAGAGACTAGAGAAAAACAGACCAGTTAGGAGACTGGTAAGAGATGATGAAGTCAGACAAGGTAGTTAGTATATGTGGGTCATAGGAGAAGAGACGGGTTTGAGAGACATGTCAGAGGTGAAGTTGACTGGATTTGCTGACTATCAGTCAGGAGTTGAGGGTTGACTGTGAGATTTTTAAAAAATTTATTTTAAGTTGGAGTCTCATTCTGTTGCCTAGGCTGAAGTGCAGTGGCACAATCATGGCTACTGCAGCCTCGACATGCTGGGCTCAGGTTATCCTTCCAAGCAGCTGGGATGTCAGGTGCACACCACCGCACCCAGCTAATTTTTTATTTATAGAAAAGACGAGGTCTTGCCATGTTGCCCATGCTGGCCTCTAATCCCTGGGCTCAGGTAGTACTCTTTCCTCTGCCTCTCAAAGTGCCTGATGACTCTGAGATTTATAACTCAGTTTGACCTGTTGGATATTAATTCCTTTCAGTAGACAGGCTGAGTCTGATTTTTCAATGTTGTGTCTGGGTACAAATTTCTCTGGCATTTGGAAAGAATGGATTTAAAGCTTAGAAGAGAAACAGATACAGATTTGGGAAAAATTATTATTAGATGGTAATAAATTTGTCCTCCTTGGCAGATAGCAGAGTGAAAAAAGTGTAAAAGCCATATCTGGCAAATATGCTATTCAGGTCAGGGGAAACAGAGGAAAAGGGTCTGGGAATGAAGTTGAGAAAAAACTTTCAGATCTCTGGGGAACCAGGGAAAAAATAAAGACGTGGAAGTGAATGCCAGCAGAGTTTCAAGGGATATAGTCCAGAGGTTCCCAAACCTGTTTGCATATTAGAATTAGTTGGGGAAGGTGTTGAAGATACAGATTTATCTTTAATGATGATGATACAGAGTGCTGAATGTGATAGAAATTTTGGTGGGTAGGGCACTGAAATTAATGTCTTTGAAGATATCTCCAGGTGACTGATGATCATCCAGGTTGGAACATCATTGACAGAGTCATTGTGGCAGAGGTCAATTCATGTAAACTTGAAGAAGTCACTGGATTTGGCAGTGAGCGAAGTTTTGCTAGGGACATGCTGAAGAATCCAAACTGCATTAAATTGAGGGGTGGGTGGAAGGTGAAAATGGAAACAGCAGATGTGGGTTGTTCATTTAAGAAAATTTGCATTAAAGATTTGGGGACAAAGGGAGCATTATTCTGAGGGAGGCAAGGTGAAGAAAGGGTTTTTAGTGCTGTTCCATGACTTAAGAAAACTGGTTGGTTGAGAATAAGGAGAAGATGGCAGGAGACCTAGGAGATGCTTGAGTGAGATAGGTTGAGTGATGAACCAAATTCTTAGAATAAGTGGGAAACAGAAAAACTAAGAGCATAAATAAAACTGGAGGTAGTTCATGAAGGCATTTCTAGTAGCAAAAATTGGGAATTAAATGTCCTTCAGTAATGTCTTGGTTAAATAAAATGCTACCCATTTAGTAGAATATTGTGTAATTTTGTAATATGAAGGATAATAATGCAATATATGTTTGTTATGTGAAGCTGTATCAATGAAGTGTTGAATAAAAGACTTATTACAGTTTAGAGTTGTTGCATTGTACAATTCCAGGGTCCCCTGAGTTGGGCTTCTTGGGACACTCTTCATATAGAACCCAGTGTGATTCCTTCTCCCTGGAGTTATCAGTTCTAGGCAACCTGAATATGGTATAGTATCCAATTTGTGAAAAGTTAGGTATGTTAACTTATATGTAGTTATTTGTGAGGGACCAAAAAATCAACTGTGATTAACTCTGGGTAGTGGGATATAGGGTGATTTTTAATTTTTGTACATTTTTAAAACAATTGTTTGAATTTTAGAAAACCTTTTATTTGTAGTCAAGTTATTTTCATTTTGAAAAATTTAGTGAAAAAGAAGAGATTATGTGAAGAAGAACAGAGTTAAATATTAAATAAGTGATCTTTGAAGAAAGGAAAATTGGGGCTGGGTATGGTGGCTCATACCTGTAATCTAGTGTTTTGGTAGACTGAAGTGGGAGGGTCACTTGAGGCCAGGAGTTTGAGACCGGCCTGAGCAGCATAGCCTTGTCTCTCCAAAAATAAAGGAAAATTGAATATTTATTTTAAAAACATGGTTTAAGTTTAGATGTGATTAAAGAGAAGAAAAAAGATAAGGCTTAACTACAAGACCAGAAAAAGCTCTCACAAAATCTTTTATACGTGGGATATTATCAAAATAAAATGACAGACTACAGCCTGGGTTGATATATTTGCGGGAAATATAATAGACTGGGATATGTTCCTGGTATACATATAGTTTACTTTGGTCTATTGCTTGGAATGTGTTTCATTCTTCTTGAAGCCCATTGACTATGTCATATAGTGGCTTCATATTTAGACCATGACTTTCTTGTACTGCTTAGTGGTTTTTTTCCCCCTAGAGGCATAATTGCTCTGCTACCACACACATTTTGTGCTTTTATCATATTCTCAGAAATTTTCAAAGTATCCGTTTCCCTAGAACCCTCCTTTTCCCAAGAGTCTCCCTTCATGATCTCTTGTGTTACCTTGTTTGAATCTGAACTGTTTGCTCTTTGCACTTGCTGAATAGCTATTTTGGACTGTCACTGCCTCCCCTAGGTTAAAGTCATTGTTTTCTGGATATTGTGTCTTTCTTTTTTTCAGGAATATGTTCTTAAGCAGGCCAACTTTCTGTATCTGTTCTTTCTGAAAATATCTGTATTCTGCCCTCACGTGATTTTGGCTTGAAATTCTGGCACTCAGTTACTTAGATAAAAACTTTGGAGTCATCCTTGACTCTATCTTACTTTGTTGCCTACATCCAATTAATTAATCAACAAAACCTATCAGATTTTAACTTAAAGTACATTCAAAGTCCAGTCACATCTTAGCACGTTTATTGCTGCCTTTCTGTTCTGAGCTACTATTGCCTTTCAGTACCTTCCTGCAGCAGCTACCAGTCTCGTCTGCTTCCACCCGTCTGTTGCTTCCGGATGGTCTGTTTTCCACAGTGTAGGCTGAGTAAGTAGCTGTTGTTTATGTCTGCTTCACTTTAGGATGAGGAGGCTAGAACTGGTTTGTAAATAAGTTGAAAACTGGCCATTATTACATGTGGGGCTTACCAGAATGCTGTAACAAGGAGGACTTTATTTTATGGCAGTATTCTGTGACATACACATACAACATAGTGTTGTTCTGGTTCTCCTGGATGGTTTGTTCAGTGTTTTTTTCTAAATAGCCTTATTTTGCTTGGTGGTCTATGCCTGGTACATTATGCAAGACCTTGAATTCCACTGTGATTGAATTCTGTAAGTAACAGAACTATTGCAGATTCTTTTTCAAAAATTACTTTAATTGTGAAATATACATAATATACCATGTTAACCATTTTTAAGTGTACACATAAGTGATATTAAGTACATTCACATTATTATGCAAGCATCACACCATCATCTCTAGAATTCTTTCTCATCTTACAAAACTGAAGCTGTACTCATTAAATGATAACTTCTCATCCTTCCCTGCCCTTCAACCTCTGGCAACCATCATTTGACTTCTGTCTCTGAATTTAACTACTCTAGGTCTTTCACATAAGTAGACTCCTAGAGTGTATGTCTTTAAAAATAACTGTTGTAAGAAGCACATAAAATGAAATTAATTTTCTTAGCCATTTTAAAGTATTCAGTTCAGTAGTGTTAGGTGTATTCACATTGTTGTGAAATCAGTCTCCACTTGTATACCTAATCCTGAATTGTACCCCACATCTTTAAAATAAAAATAAATAAATAAATAAATAAAAAGAAAAATAACTTTTTCATCTTGCAAAACTGAAACTCATCGAATAACAATTCCCCTTCTCCCAGTCCCTAGTAACTACTATTCTACTTTGTATTCTATGAATTTGATTACTCTAGGTATCTCATATAAGTGGAATCATATAGTATTTTCTTTTTTGTGACTGGTTTATTTCATTTAGCTTAGTATTCTTAAGGTTCATCCATGATGTAGGATGTGATTTCCTTCCTGTTTGGGGTTGACTAATATTCCACTGTATATCACACCTTGTTTATCATTTATCAGCAGATAAATACTTGGATTGCTTTCATCTTTTCTCTATTATGAATACTGCTGCTATGAACATTGGCATACATATATCTCCTTGATACTCTGCTTTCATTTTTTGCGGGTATGTACCTGCTGGAGTCCAGCTCCAGGAGAGAGTCAGGGCTTGAGACGGGGGAATCAGGAAGCGGCAAAAAAGAAAAGACGAAGATGACAGGAATCCTCTTCCGGGGGAGAGCTCAAGACTCTGCCAATTTTTATTTATTTTTCACAAGCTTATATAGGTTTTCCACTCAGCCCTGCACCCACAAATGTATCTTATGTTGCTAACCAAATGCCCACGTACATCCTTTTTGCACTCACAACAAGGTTGACCTTTAACAATTTTAACTACAGATGGTGTTTTTCTTAAGTCCAACATCCTGGTTTCCTTCCTAACTTCCTTATAACTATTTACTATTATAGGCCTATAATATCCTTACCCTATAAAGCTAAACCTTAACCCTAAGTCTTATTTAACTTACTTACTACTATATATTTATTTCTATTAATCTTATTTCTATGCTTATGTCTCTATATTTTGTTAACTATCACTTATACTATTATATATCTCTTATCTTACTGGTTTATCTTATCTTATTAACTTATTATTAATATTCTAAATTCTATCTTCATTAAACTACTTATTTAATCCTAAAATATCTTAACCTATTTTTTTTATCTCAAACAGTTGTTTTCCACCAGCTCTCAGCTGGGGTCTGTTGTTTATGAGAAAGTGGTCGACTCGTTTTTTCTCGGCCTCCTGCTGTTACTGAAAAACATCCTTACACACCCTAAGGGGCACCCTTTTTGCTGCAATCTCACCTCCATTATGCCTATGTATAATTTTTGCTGTCAAATGCCATCATCCATTTGCACATCTATTATCTCAATTAAAGAGGGAACAGTCTCAAGCCTACGCACGCAATCCTTCAAAGTTAGGGAAGGTCCGTCAACAGGATCCATGGGGCTTTGCCTCCGTCATGGCCGCATTTTACTGGGGCCTTGCTCCCAGCCAGCGTTTTTCCTGTTTTCAGGTCCCTTTTATCTTACTACTAGTGATTGTGGCTCCCGGCACATATCACTATATTTTCTAGTCATTTTAGGCTAAAACTTTACTAATTCATATTCATACTCATTCTCCAGTGATGGGGTTATAAATTTCAATTAATGGTTTTTATTCAACAGTCAACTCTGCTTCTTCTATGTTCATACAACATTGTAACTGTTTTTTGAAAAGTGACTCAGTGTTATGAGTAATTAAAAAATACATAAAACAGTTTTAAATTCTTCAGCCAAATAGGCATTTTAAAAATTTTCTGAAGAGATGTCTTACCTAATAGAGTGTAAATCAGATTCTTAAAACACATGTGAGTGTTCTCTAAAGATCTCATTGTCCTGGTTTTCATTTTACAAATTTCAAATTAATGATTTCAGCACTTATGCCTATATTCTAGCAGTTAAAATACAGTGACATGGCCACAATTACATTTGCAAATACAGAATT